GTATAGACACAGAGGAAACAATTAGGTATATGGATTTATGGTTTCTCATCTTCCTTCTACAGGCAGTAAAAAAGTTTTCAGCTCAGGAAAGATTAACAATTATGACTTCATAATCAAATCTAACATTCTAATATTGAACAATTTAAAACAGGTTTTTAGATAATTAAGCATGCTGTGAGAGCTAGGGGTATTTTACAGTTCCTTTTCGGATTAGTAATATAATCCCCCAGATTGGTCTCTGAGTACTCAGTTTCTTTTAGTCTCTAACTGGATTGAATAATGATATCTCTAACAAAGCTTATTAAAATGTTTAGATTTGAAATATTTCTGTAACCTGCTTTTATCTCTTGATGTAGTATATCACTGTGAGGGAAAAGTATGAACTCATCTACTAATTCATTAAACACTGAAGAAAAGAAAGCTGCTAAATGGATAAAGATATAGTTGTAGGCAGGATTTCTGATGGGGGAATCTCAATGTGTGCTATTATGTTGCATTTATAACTAACAAATGATGATCAAAAATGTCAAATCTAATCAAAGGACACTCATTACAAATGCATTAGTGTTCTCATGGAACAGCGTACAATACAGAGTCAAAAATGGAAAGGCATGCAACCAAAAATGAATCATTGCATAATATAAGAAGAATAGAAATACCCACTGATTAAATTATTCTTTCCATAGAAAGACACATATTAGACAAAGAAATTTCCTGTACTTTGCAGCTCAGAACAGCAAGATAATGTTGTGTGACAACAAAAACATATAATTTCTTTATCCTGTAGACCAGCAGTCAACAAGTCGATCCTGTAGCCTCTGACAGTCAATTGCGATCTCCGGCCACTAAAAGTCTGGTGGCACAGCGGGGCTAAGCAGGCTCCCTGCCTGTCCTGGCCCTGCGCTGCGCCCGGAAGCAGCCAGCATGCCCCAAGGCCCCTGGGGGTGGAGAGGCAGGGGTCCCTGCATGCTGCTCCTGCCTGCAAGCACCACCTCTGCAGCTCCCATTGCCTGGGAATGGGAAACTGTAACCAATGGGAGCTGCGGGGCTGCTGCCTGCAGAGAGGGGCAGCACGCAGAGCCATGTGCACCCCCCCAGGGGCCACAGGGACATGATGGCCGCTTCTGGGAGTGGTGTGGGGCAGGGACGGGCAGAGAGCCTCCCTTAGCCCCACTGCACTGCTGACCAGGAGCCACCTGAGGTGAGTGCCACCCAGCGGGAGCCCGCACCCTAGCCCTGAGCCCCCTCCCGGAGCCAGCACTCAGTACCTCCTACCCCAGCCCTGAGCCGCCTCCTAGAGCCTGCACCCTGAACCCCCTCGTGCCCCCCAAACCTCCTGTCCCAGCCCTGAGCTCCCTTCTGGAGCTAGCACCATGTACCCCCTCCTGCCCGCCAACATTCTGCCACAGCCCAGAGCCCCCTCCTGCAACCCCACCCCCTGCCCAGCCAGGAGCTCCCTCCCACACTCCAAACCCCTCAGCCCCAGTCCAGAGCTTGCACCCCCTCCTGCATCCTAATCCCCTGCCCCAGCCCGGTGAAACTGAGGGAGGGAGAGCGAGCGACAGAGGAGAGGTGCATGTGAGTGGGGTGGGGCCTCGGGAGTAGGGCGGGGTAGATCCTAGGTTGCGCTTAAATTCAAAAAGTGATAGTGTGCATAAAAAGGGTGGAGACCACTACTATAGACAGTATTATTCAAGCTTCTGAGTTTGAACCAAAAACTATCATTGACATCCAAAGACTCAACAACAAAGAATGCTGCTGCTGTTATATTGGATTTGTTCAAAGCTCAGTTTTCTGTAAAACAGAGTTATCAAACTCAGTCCTATGATATATTTGGCAATTTTCATGTTAGATGCTGTGATACATATTTTACTCTAGACTAGGAGCCATTATAATTGTTATCATGCCCTTCCTTTCCCTTTTCAAAGTCTATTACTGTTTTGACACCGGTACAGTGATCAAAGATCACCACTGTGTTTATGTCTCCCATTAGGATCTACAAGCATGATTCTCAGTCCTTATGAATTTCACAGATGCACAGCCTTTGTATTTCAGTGCCCCACACTCTGTCTGTGTTCTGGAAAGGTGCATTCCTCAGCATTACAGGACAACTGCAGAGATCCTAGAATTCTGAAAAGTGAAATATTTGAAAATTCTGTGAACTAGTAAACATTCTAAGTAAATCCTGGAAGAAACAAGAAACTTGAATTTGTTCATGAAGCATAATTTTGGACTCAATAATTTGAGTAAAAAAATATACTGGGCCATTACATTTTCAAGTCTGAAGTTCTGCCAAGATATTCAATTACAGAATATTTTTGTGGTCTTCCATACCATGATCATATGCACAGTTGGAGTGGATTGTCCTACTTCTACAGTGATAAGGTTCTTAGCTATGAACGTTATCTATTGTAGTACACATGATTTCTAGTCTAATTTTGTAGTCATTTTATTATGTTCATTATACAATATTTGGTATCTTTGAAAATACATTTAAACAAAAAAACACAGGTGTGTTGTGTCCAAATATAGGAAATCTGAGCCAAGGGTTTCTGCATCAGTTAAAAAACATAACACATACACATCATGGTTATCCCACATTGTTACATTTTCTATTCCAAGACTTAGTCATCATAAAGGCACAGTTGTTGTGCCTATATAACAGACAAATTCAACAATTCTTGTATTAATGAGTTCATCCTGAATACACTGTGGGCAACATATTCCCCCATTCTTCCCTCCAAATATAACAATCAACAGAATAGCCTTCTAAATATGCAGGTCACTGGTCATGTCAGCATGACCTCCCAGCTGACGAGAGTTGCTGGATCACCAGAAAATTAGTAGCAATAGGAAGTGGCCAGCATCTCCAATTACTTTGGTGAATTTCTGAGGTCAGCAGCAATAGGTACCAGGAACAGCTGTCCAATGAAGCTGATTATAGAGCCACCAAATGATATGCAAATCACAGCTATAGCTTGTTAGACTCTGTAGTTTAGTTTTGGTGCAGATTGGGACCAACAGATAAAATAATTTTAACTGGAGGAAGTTTCAGCTAGCCTCTTGCCAAACACAAAACGTTTGCAATATTGAATGTAGCAACAATGGTAGAGTAGTAGCCTTGCCTGTTGCAGTAAAGATATATATCTGTATATGCAGATTTCTGTAGAAAATGGGGATGCAGGTGTAGCAGATCCTAATCTGTTTTTTCTTAAACAATGTCCGTTTCTGATTTGCTTTTTCTAATATTATAGCCTCTTGGATTAAAAAGAAACTCCCAAATTTGAGGGAGAATTTTTATGAATGGATACTAAGAAAATTTGTTAATCTCCAATTTTGCAGTGGTCTGTTAACATAGAAAGCTGAAATACTGTATAATCGGCTTAGGCAGTTCCTGACCCCTTTAACAGAATGTCACTGCACCAGGCTGTTGTAGCATGGCATCAAAACTTGACTACTGCATCTTCAAATGACTCTACTGAGCTCAGGACCACAAGGATCTTCCAAATCCAATTAATGAAAGAGGAAAAGCTCTTCCTGGGAGAATTTATATTCTAAAAGTCTAATATAATTAACTATGCATGGATTGGATTACTGCATTCAGGGAGGGCACTGCAGAAAAAGATGCAGAATTGCTGAAACTAGATGGCAAGAAATGGTAGCAGAGCTTTTGATAATAATTCATAAGAACAACCATACTGGGTCAGACCTGTAGTCCATCTAGCCCAGTATGCTGTCTTCCAGTAGTGGCTAATGCCAGATGCTTCAGAGGGAATGAACAGAATGGGCAATCATTGAGTGATCCATCCCATCATCCACCCCCAGCTTCTGGCAATCAGAGAAGAGGGATACACCACGGCATGGAGTTGTACCTCTGACCATTTGAGCAAATAGCCATTGATGGACCTATGCTCTTATCTATGAACTTACCTAATTGCGTTTTGAACCCCGTTATAGTTTTGGCCTTCATAGGTTGACTCTATTGTGTGAAGAAGTACTTCTGTTTGTTTTAAACCTGATGCTTATTAATTTCATTGGGTGCTCCTTGTTCTTGTGTTATGTGACGGGGTAAATAACACTTCCTTATTCACTTTTTCCACACAATTCACAATTTTATAGATCTCTATCATATCTTCTCTTTGTCATCTCTTTTCCAAGCTGAAAATTGATAGAAAATACCATATTGCATATATACCACGTGTCATCTAGGTACACCCCCATTGTATTTATTCAGTGACAAACTCACTTGGAAGCATACAGCTACCTGGTTATCCATACTCCATTTTTTTCTATTCCATTCTTTCCCCCTCAGCAAAGGCATGCGTTTCTCACTGAGGAGTGCATGCACATGCCATGTGTGAAATTTCAGTCCCATTTAAATTATTCCAGAGGAAAAAAGAAAAAAAAAAAGCACCCACCCTTTTTTTTGAAACCCTGCAAAACAGTAATTAAGCATCAGCGAAATGTTGTAGAAAAGATGGAGGCCCAGGAGAAATTTCAGGCACAAGAAAGCTTTTCTATAGAAAGTTGTAAGGGCCTGTGAGGAAGGGCTGAGACTGCAGGAGCTGCCTCCTCCGCTGTAACTGCAGCTCTGCTGTACAAGCGCCACCTGTCCGTCCACTCTCCTTGCCCCTCCTGGGCCGTGTGCTGCAATGGAGCCCGCTGTCTCTGTTTAATCGCCTTGCTGGGGTATTTTTGGGACGGGGACCTCGGCGTTGGGCGTCGCCGTCTCCCGTTCCCTAAGCGCTCTGCTTTTTGACATTTGATTCTTGCATGTCCCTCCAGGGGCTTTTCAACAGAACCCCCCGTACATTGGCCCCTCTTGGCTTTGCTGCCTGCTCCGCCGCCACCCTCTGTCCTCAGGCCCTGTCAGGTTCTCCCTCCTCTCCCGCCGCCCCAGCCGCTATCGTCGCTCTCCATCCCCATTCTCTCCTTTCCCGCCCACGTCACCCTACTCCTCACCCCCTGCCCCCGCCCTCTGTGATTCGCTGCTCCGGCGCATGCACTCTGGTTGCCGTCCCCGCGCGCACCGCCGGGGTGGGGACTGAGAGGCCGCCTGGCTTGGTCGCTGGCCGCTCGATTTTCTCGCTGCTTGTGGTGTCGCCATTTTCTACGGGAAGGTCGGGCCGGTGTCGAGGCGCATGGCAGGGAGGTACCAGTAAGTTACGTTACCCAGCAACTCCTCGCCCCAGGGGCGCGCTGGCCCCAAAGCAGGGGCGCCGGCGGGGCTGTGGGTCCCGTCTGCAGCGAGGCAGGCGGCGGGGAGCTGCGCAGCGCCGGGGGACGGGCCGGTGAGTGTCTGCACCGGGCAGCCCAAGCCCTGCAGTAGGGGGTCCCCTGGGCGGGGGCTGCATCCACCTTGCCGTGGGGAGCGGTATGAACGAGACCCTGCGCCGGTGGGCTCTGGAGAGGCGGGATGGCTGAGCGCGCTCAGACCCCTCCTGTGTCCCCGGGGAGAACGTAGGGGCTGGGCTGAGGCCTTGTCCACCCTAGCCGGGGTTTGCCCCATGGCTACGCAGCAAGTGAGCGCTTCTGCCAGACTGGTTCCGCTCCCTGGCCAGAGTAGTGGTTCGGCAGGGGCCTTCTTTGCCATTGTCACGGCACCTGCACTAGGGCTTTTGCCGGTATAGAAATGTCTCAAAAAGACAACCGCACCCCATAAGCGATGTTAGACAGGCGAGTTACTAGTGTAGATCAAGCCCCAGTTTCTAGCTGCGCTGCCCCACCATCTCCTGTCCAGAACCGTGTCTCCACAGCAAACAACTTCTGTTGGCATAGCTAGGCCAGGGGTGTGATCTCTGGTTGACATAGGTATGCTGTCATAAGCCCCACGGTAGGTTTATTTTGGAGTGTGTGGGGTACGGGATGGTTGGCAAAAGCTCGGTTTTACCAATTTGTTGCCTGTGTGAGGAGCACTTTGTCATTATAGTTTAGGATCCTTCCAAATTCACTGTCCATTTTGGTCAAGATCACTGCCAGGGATTTTTCAAATTAGTCAATTTCATGTTTTCAGATATTTACACTTGAAATTTCAGTGTTGTAAGTTTTGGGGTCCTGACCTAAAAGGCCGTCAGGGTGGGATGGTTGCAAGGCTATATTGTGTGTGTGCGTGCGTGCGTGCAGGGGGTGGGGGGTGTCATGGGATTGCCACCCTTACTTCTTCCCTGCTGCTGACAGTGTGCTGCCTTCAGTATAGGGCAGCCAGAGAGGAAGGCTGCTGGCCAGGCGCCCAGCTCTAAAGCCAGTGCCTCCACCAGCAGCAGAGCAGAAGTGAGGGTCACAGGGTATGGGCTGTGTGTATGCGTTTTCCTGGAAGTTTGCTGCCCAAGAAGGGGGCTGACAGCTGGAGGTGCAACCTCTGTGCACTGGAAGGTGTGTGTGACAGCTGGTACCGCGGCCTCTCCACGGGGTGTGTGTGTGACAGCTGGAGCCGCAGCCTCTCCACGGGGTGTGTGTGTGACAGCTGGAGCGGCAGCATCTCTGTGCGCGGTAGTAACAGCTGGAGCTGCCCAACCTTCTTCCAGCCCGGGGAGATCCCAGAGGTGGGTCTGACCCACTCTGGGAGCAGCACCTGAAGGGGAAGAGTAAGTCTCATGCCTCCACATCCCCAGCTGGGAACAGGGGCTTGTCTACACCAGCCCCCAGATCAGCGGGCAGTGATTGATCCAGCAGGGTTCAATTTATCGCGTCGATGCGATAAATCGATCGCTGAGCACTCTCCAGTCAACTCCGGTACTCCACCAGAACAAGAAGCACAAGCGGAGTCGACGAGAGAGTGTCAACTGTAGACTTACCACGGTGAAGACACCGCAGTAAGTAGATCGAAGAACATCGACTTCAGCTACGCTATTCGCATAGCTGAAGTTGCGTATCTTAGATTGACCCTGTGTGGTGGTGTAGACAAGCCCTGGAGTCCTGCACAGGTTAGGAGCGCCCAGCTGCATGCCAGATTTCACGGGGGAGATCAGATTTCACAGTTTATGATGTGTTTTTTCACTGCCATGAATTTGGTAGGGCCCTAATTATACGATACCTTTAGGGGCAAAGCACCCCTCGTGTAGACATGGCCCAAGTCTATGTCTTCATTTGCATTTTTAGTTGTGTTTTAACACAGCTTGATTAATAACACAATTGTAAATTCTAATGTAGACAGGACAGCCTGGTGTTAAACATCACTAGCAACAAATGTTTGTGATGTGGAACATACTTGCTGCAAGTACTCAAAAATAATGAGTAAGGCCCCAAAAATATATGAGATTAATAAAAAAGAATGCAAATTTTATTATTTTTCCTAGTCTTCTGGGTGGGCATGTTTAGGGTTTACGTTTTTAAGCTCCTCACTGTTGTGCACAGCTGGGAGATGCAGTTTGAGTGGGGAGTCCAGCCCTTAGAGGAGAATGTAGATATGAGGAAACTGAACTACAGCTCCCAGAGGCACCACAGCAGGAGATCCAAATCAAAATATTTGGATTTTTTTATATGTTTATTTTTTTGACAAAAAATTTAAAGTTTCTACAGAAAGCAGACACTTCATGAAAAATGTCATTGGGTTGAAAATCCAACTTTCAACTGAGAAACAATTTTGACTGAAAAATTTTGACCAGTGTTATATACCATTATAAACTACTGCAAATATCAGTGCACTCCTTGGATATTATCTTAATGCTGTTCTAAAGGAATCTTACAGTGGGAAAGAAGGGTTTGTTTAAATGTGAGTAAATATCTAGTAATCATGAGTTCTGATTCACTGAATGATTGACCTTTCTACTTAAACTATCGGTGCATACATTTCCCTATATGTAAAATTCAGATAATAGTGTTTTGCTTTATGTGGGTATTGTAAGGTTTACTTAATGTTTTGAAAGTGCTTTGAAATATGTGGACAAAAGGGTCTACATATATGTAAAATATTTTTACAATAAGAAAATATTATGTTATAAAAGGAGTGCGGAGAGAATAGAATCGTAGGACTGGAAGGGTTGAGAGGTCTTCTAGTCCAGTCCCCTACACCCAAGGCAAGACTAAGTATTACCTAGACCATCCCTGGCAGGTGTTTGTCTAATCTGCTCTTAGAAATCTCCAATGACAGAGATTCTACAACCTCCCTAGGCAATTTATGCCAGTGCTTAACTACCCAGACAGATAGGAAGTTTTTCCTAAAGTCCAGCCTAAATCATCCTTGCTGCAATTTAAGCCCATTGCTTCTTGTCCTATCCTCTGAGGTTAAGGAGAACAGTTTTTCTCCCTCCTCCTTGTAATGACCTTTTATGTCCTTGAAAAATCTTTTCATGTCCTTTCTGTTTTCTCTTCTCCAGACTAAACATATCTATATTTTTCAGTCTTTCCTCATAGGACATATTTTCTAGACCTTTAATCATTTTTGTTGCTCTTCTCTGGACTTCCTCCAATTTGTCCACATCTTTCCTGAAATGTGGTGCCCAGACTGGACACAATGTTCCAGCTGAGGCCTAATCAGCGCAGAGTAGAGTGGAAGAATTACTTCAGTGGTTCTCAAACTGTTGCACTGGTGACCCCTTTCATGTAGTAAGCCTCCGTGTGCGACCCCCCTTTTAAATTAAAAACACTTCTTTACATATTTAACACCATTATAAATGCTGGAGGCAAAGTGGGGTTTGGGGTGGAGGCTGACAGCTTGCACCCCCCCCCCATGTAATAACCTCATGACCCGCTGAGGGGTCCCGACCCCCAGTTTGAGAACTCCTGAATTACTACTTGTCTTGCTCATAACACTCCTGCCTAATACATCCCTGAATGATGTTTGCTTTTTTTTTTTTTTTTTTGGCAACAGTATTACACTGTTGACTCATATTTAGCTTGTGATGCACTATGATTCCTAGATCCCTTTCCGCGGTACTCCTTCCTAGGCATTCATCTCACACTTTATATGTGTGCAACTGATTGTTCCTTCCTAAGTGGAGTACTTTGCTGAACGCCCGCTGCCGGTCTGGGGTCCCAGCCCTGCCCACATAGAGTGGGTACCTGCCTTCTCCCTGGTTCTAGCCATTCTCTTCCTCTCTCTACACTGAGATGAGGGCGAGAGTGCGCTGAGAACAGGGCTGGGGGTGAAGGAGTAGGCTGGGGGTTAGGGTGCAGGGTCTGGCCAGGAGCTAGAATGAGGGAGGGGGCTCAGGGTTGGGTGTGGTTTGGTGTGGAGCGCTTACCTGGGCAGCTCCCATTTGGTGCGAGGGGTGCAGGTGGGAATGTGTGTGTGGGGTGTGTGTGTGCAAGAGCTTCCATTTGGTGCTCAGGGTGGGGGTGGGGATGTGGGGGGTGCAAAAGTCAGGGCATGGGGTGTGGGGGGCTGGGTATGTGTGGGGGGGTTCAGGAGTCAGGGCAGGGGGCTGGGTATGTGGGGGGGGTGCCGGAGTCAGGGCTGGGGTTGTGGGGGGGTTCAGGAGTCAGGGCAGAGGGCTGGGGTGTGTAAAGGGAGTGCATGGGTCAGGGCGGTGGGCTGGGGTCGTGGAGGTGCTCCCGCCCCCTGCCCTGAGTGACTTACGGCAGGGGGCTGGAGGGGATATGCCGATTCCACCCCCTTCCCCAAAGTTCCTGGGGTTCTGGCTGCCAGCCCCTTGCCAGCCGGCGTCCCGGCCACAGGCCCCACTCAGCCCGCTGCCGGCCCAGGTGAATGGAACCCCAAGCCTGCAGTGGGCTGAGAAGGCCGGCGTTGTAAGATCAGCATTTTAATTTAATTTTAAATGAAGCTTCTTAAACATTTTGAAAACCTTGTTTACATACGACAACAGTTTAGTTATATTATATATAGACTTATAGAGAGAGACCTTCTAAAAAACGTTAAAATGTATTATTGGCACGTGAAACCTTAAATTAAAGTGAATAAATGAAGACTTGGCACACAACTTCTAAAAGGTTGCCGACCTGTTGTATAAACATTTTCAATATTGTTTAGAGAAAAGGAAGATACTGTCATTGTGTGTGGGTCCCAACAGTCTTGAGCTGTGCTGTATGAACCAAAACCTCTGTTAATTAACTCCTAGGTACTTCTGAATGTTGATTCAGTCTCTTGCCTTGAAAACGCATTTCACTGATTGTAATGTTTCATGGTAAAAATAAACCATGACGATTATTATTAATCATGTTTATTATAGTGGAGCCTAAGGGCCAACCGAGAGTGGGGTCCCACTGTACTATACAAAGTCTCCTCTGAAGAGCATACAATCTACATAGACAAGACAGACCCGAAATAGACAAAGGTGGGGGAAGAGGTATAATAAACGGCGTGAACAATGTGAATATATATATATATATACACACACACACACATACACATCTTTTGAGTGGATTTACTTAGAATGGGATAAGCTAAATGGAAAGAAAAGGGAAGTGGGAGACAGGACAGGGCTCAAGAGCGTAAGAGGCCCAGGTGTTGAGTGAAACTGAGGTGAACAGACTAGGAAGGAAGGTGACAGAGAGGGTTGGAGCAAACAGCCAATCAGCACAGGGCAGAGAAAGTCCAGTCAATACTGCAGAAAATTCACTGATTGTCTAAAAGTCTATGCTTTGGCTGCTACTTCTACTGGCTGGAATCTTGGGTTGGCTGCTCTCTGCACTTTTTCTCCAAGGTCTCATGGTGGGGTAGGCACCCCTGGAGTTGGGGTCAGTGGTCTCCCCTCCACACTTCTGTGTGCTGTGGGAGGGGTGACTCTGGCTGGACCCTATTTTACCCCTTGCTTCCTTGCTGCAGTGCAATAGTCCCTGCTTTGGCTACCAGCTGGAGTCTCTGGCTGGCTCCTCTCTGCAGCTTTTCCCCAAGGCCACATTAAAATACCTTCTAATAATTGTAATTATTTTCTTCACAGAATATTGAAGCATGTTTGTTCCAAGGTCTCTTAAAGTGAAGAGGAATGCTGATGATGACCTAAGCTGTACAGCAAAAATAAAAAAGTTGTCTTCTGGAGAACCCTCATTAGTGGAGGCCACAGACTTCAGAGATGTCAAGCCAGCTATAAAAGACACTTCTGCTTCAGGATGTAATTTATATAAAGCAGTACAAGAATGTACAGAGCGACACACTTTTCCAGATTCAGACTTCCCCTTTGCTGATGAATCTTTGGGAAGTGACAACCAAAATGTTGATGAAGACAGCTCCTCTGTAGACGAACCCATTAAATCTTTCAGCAAATTCCAGCGCTGGGCAGAACCTGGAGAACCTATATGTGTTGTTTGTGGTCGTTATGGTGAATATATTTGTGATAAAACAGATGAAGATGTTTGTAGTTTAGAATGTAAAGCCAAACATCTTTTACAAGCTAAAGAAAAGGAAGAAGGGTTAAACTCTGACAGTCTTGTGAAAGTAGAATCAAAACCAGAAACTCTTTTGCCTGTCACGCTTTATACTTATAAAGAACATTCCTTTATTTTAAGCCTGCAAGATGACCAGATCAAGAACCTTAAATTACAGTTAGGTATTGTTGTCCAGGGCGAAGGAGTTACAAGACCTATTATAGAGTTTGAACACTGTGGTTTTCCTGAAACTTTAAACTATAATTTAAAGAATTCAGGCTATGAAGTTCCAACCCCTGTCCAGATGCAGATGATTCCTGTTGGACTTTTGGGAAGGGATATCGTGGCCAGTGCAGACACGGGCTCAGGAAAAACTGCAGCCTTCCTGCTTCCAGTTATTATTAAAGCCTTAGAAGAGGTAATTAAAGTTTAGGGAGGTAATTAAAGTTTACGTATATATTCAGAAAGAGGTAAGAAGCTTAATGAGTCCAGAGTTCTTAATATAATTAAGAATGGCAGTGATTTTGTATTGAAGCTCATTAGTTTATTTTTTTTAAAGAGCTTTTCCCCTTAATACTATGAATATTTTCTAGTTGGGTGGGCAGGAAATATAGTCTCTTAATTGACATTAGTGTACTTGCAGTTTCATTTTGTTCACAAAAAGTAACCTATTGAAAGGACACTTTTGGTGTTTTTTCTCCCAGTAATTATGTGGTTTTCCCAGTAACTTAGGAGTTAGTTGCTAATGTTCCAGCATGCATCATTCTGTGACATCACAAATACTATGAGGGCTGTAAAGACATTCCTGGTATTCATGTGATTTCACAGATGAATTCAGGCTGTGATGTCTTCAGCCAACCAGCAAATATCCAGAGGAATTCAGAGGGTAAAATAATTTTTAAAGGGTAGGTAAAACTTATTTCTGTGCTGACTGCTCCCCACAACCTCATCAAAAGGGGCCCATCAGTGCATATTTTAATACTTAACTTCAATACCATTTGAAGTAAGGAAAAAGAGACTAACATGAATGCTTACATTTCATAGTGCAAGTTTTCAAGCAATGGGTGATCTTGCATACTATTCTGTACTTCAGTTTCAGGATACAGTTTGGTGACTTTTCAGTCCAGATTCTCATTTGAACATTGAAATTTTTTTTGGTGGGTTTAAATCAGTGTGTCTCTAATTTAGGAGGGTCTACCCCATCCCCCCTTTAATACACTATGGCTTATTTATATCCTGGTGACATCTGAAAAACTTCAGTTTGTCTCTATAACTTGTTAATTTTTAGGATAATAATTATTGGTTATTATGGGTGGGAGGGAAATAGCTTTACTTTTCCAAGTAATTAGTGGCAGTTTAGGATGATCCAAAATGCAGTAGAATCACTATAGTTCTTTGAGTAGTATCCTTATGGGCGCTCCACTTCAGCGGTGCATGTGCCTCTCAATCAAAGATTTTCAGTTAGTAATGTGCTTTCATGTGCGTTATGCCTCCTTGTGTTGGACACTAAGTCCATATAGGTGAGTATGAACAAACTGCCCTTCAGTTCCTTCTCAACCGCCTCAGCCTGAGAGGGAGCCTTAGTGTGTCTGTCTCGAGCATGCTTCGTCTTTTCTATTTTTCTATAGTTGATTGATTAATTAGTATAGTTATAGTTAGTTAAGAAGTGAGAGGATTATTTTTCTCCTCTCCCCCCCGACAGTCACAGGGAAGATTCTTATTATTATCAAGGGTGATGGAGGGGCATGTAGGGTTGGTTCCAACTTCCATATGGGCTCCCTTAGTGGCCACACTGGGACCCCTAGGATGCTTCTTGGCAGCAATTTGCCAGAGCACCTATACTGCTCATAGGGAGGCTAGAGTTGCACAGCTCTCCTCCCCAATGAGCCCCCTCCCCACACACAAAGAGATGTTTGGAGACCAGGAAACCAGGGCGGATAAAGAGGCCACCCCTCAAACACTTATTTCATCCTCTTCTCTGGATGAAGTGGTTATACCTCCACCACCATCCATTGCCAGAGATTTTCAGCAATTTCAAGAAGTCATAAAGTGGGTAGCAAATTTCTCTTGAAGTCAAGGATTCACAGCACAAACTGTTGGATATCCTATCGTCCGCAACAACCTCCAGGGTGGTGTTACCCATTAACGAGATACTCCTACATCCATCTAAGACTGTATGGCAGACACCTTCCACTGTTCGGACCACATCTAAACAGGCAGATAACCCCTTAAGGATTCTGACCTTTTGTGCTCCCCTGCTCCACCTAACTCCCTGGTGGTGATGTGTGGGGAGTAAATGAGCATGATAGACGGGACTTCTCTAAGTCTACCCTGTAAGACAAAGACACTGGATCTCTGGAAAAAAGAGCAGTGGCGACTTACCCCTGACAAGAAGCAATTGTAGTTTTTCCATATCTTGATGACTGATTACTCAAGGGCAGCTCCTATGAAGCAGTGCTGTCTTCCACTCAGACAGCCCTTGTTCTGTCCCATGTTAACCCCTGCAGTTTCGCCTGAAACTGAATGTAAAAAAAATCTACTTTAACCCTGTACAGAAGATAGTTTATAGGGGTATATTTGGACTTGTTGGCAGCCAGGAAATACCTTCCCTTAGACAGATTTGTAACTTTGGCAGTTCTGGTACAAGCAATTCAGTGTAGCCCTCTACAATAAGGAACAGTTCCTGGGGCACATGACAACTTGTACCTTTGACCAGTCATGCAGGGCTACACCTCCACTGCTTCTGGGGTTGGCTCAGAATGATCCATTCTCCAGTCAGACACATTGGACAGACAGGAGAGTAACTCCCTACACTGGTGGAAGGATCAACTCCGTGTCTTTTCAGGGATTCCTTTCTGTCGCTTAGCTCCATTAGTGACTTTAATAACAGATGGATCTCTGTTGAGATTGGGAGCGCACCTCAATATCCTCACAACTCAGGGAAGATGAACAACTCCAGAAACCAGTCTCCACATCAATCTGTTGGTGCTTTGGGCTGTCAGGAACGGTTACCTTTATTTCCTGCCCCTCATCGGGGGTACATCAATCAGGGTCATGACGGACAATGTATCTTGCATGTTCTGTTTCAATGAGCAAGAAGGAACAGGATCCTCCTTCTGTGTGCCAAGGCCATGAAACTATGGAACTGGTGGATAGATCATCAGATCCAAATTTCAGCAGTCTGTTTCCCAGGTATTCAGAACAACACATCTGATGATGTTGGTACTGCTCTCAAGACTACGAATGGGAGCTAAATGCACAAGTTCTCCACAGCATGTTCAAAAAATGGGGACTGCTGGGGATCTCTTTGCCAGAAGGGTGCCCTCTTCTCTGCTCAAGAAGAGGTCTGGGCCATCAATCCTGGGGGACACCTCTTTTCTGTCTTGTAAGAAAGGTCTGTTCTGTGCCTTCCCACAACACTGCTGATACTAAGGGTGATGAGCAAAATCAGACACGAGAGGGCCAAAGTTATCCATATAGTGCTGACATGGCTGAGACAAGCTTGGTACCCTTACCTGCTTCATCTGTGTCCAAACGCAGCTCAAGCTCCTGTCCACTCCTCATCTCCTCTCATTGAGTGTGGGCCATGTGCTTCATCCTAACCTAGCAGTTCTTGCCTCAGGGTGTGGTTTAGAGTTAGAATCCTCCTGCTCTATAGAAATACAACAGGTACAAGAGGTATAACAGATGTTACTGAATAGTGGAAAGAGGTCAACTTGTACTACTTACCTGCAGAAATGGAAGAGTTTCTTCCATGGTGGTGGTGTCACTCCTTCCTGCCAGAATTTCTGCCATCCTGCATTACCTGTTGGATCTGAAAAAATTGGGGTTATCAGTTAGTTTGATTAAGGTCCAAATACCAGCCTTTCATCCTTCGTTAAAAGTATTTTCCATTTTTGCTCCCTTGATATTGACTAGGTTTATTAAGGGTTTGGGGAATCTCTACCCTCAGATTAGAGACCCCACCCCAACCTGGAACCTCAGTTTGGTACTCGGTTACCTTATGAGACCTCTATCTGAACCTATGGCAACCAGCTCTCTGCTCCATTTATCTATGAAGACAGTCTTTTTTACTAGCCATCATGTCAGTTCAAAGGGTTGGGGAGATTGGAGTCTTGGCAGATTCTCACACCCCCCCCCCCCACCCCCGAGCTCTGGAACCCCCACACTTTGCAGGTCCTAGAGCCTGGGTTCCAGCCCAAACCCAGAAGTCTACACAGCAGTGACACAACCCTGCAGCCCAAACCCCTCAAGCCTGACTTGGCTGGCACAGGCCAGCCGCAGGTTATTCTTTGCTGTGTAGGCATACCTTAAAGGCTCTTTACACTGCTCTGGCGCGTAAAGGAGCTTTGAAGTTGGTATACATTACATTGCAGTCACTGCCGGAGCAGTGAAAGGGACCTAAATGTCAATTAGAATCCTTTATCTTTCAGTTGAATATTAGAGTTGGCTCCATGAATGATTTTAGTAGGCTGTTTACTAGCTAATGAATCAAAATGACTGCACTACATAACTATGTCTCTGTAGAAAGGTTTATGTTAGGTTTTCACCAAAGAATGAAAATTCGATGGTGGATAGAAGTATTTTTTTTTTTCTTTTTAGACTAAAACTCCGTCTGCACTTATTGTGACACCAACGAGAGAGTTAGCCATTCAAATAGAGAGACAAGCTAAAGAGCTGATGATTGGTCTGCCAAACATGAGAACAGTTCTTCTTGTAGGAGGTTTACCACTGCCACCCCAACTTCATCGTCTAAAACAAACTGTTAAGGTAAGAACCATTGTGTGAAAGAGTTCCTTGAAGAAAGATGTTTTTATGGCATGTGTAGGAAATAAAAACTGATGACTTAACCTTTGACTTGAATTTGCGTGTTTTACATCAGTGGTGCCCAACCTCATTACACAGGAGTGTCATATAAATCTAAGCCACAACCTTGTGTGGGTCAAACAGATTTTACATATTTTAATCAGATTTATAGTCCCCTGTACTGATATATATTTTAAGTTCAGCTTGTTTTGTATGTATTTAGATGGGTTGTTTCTACGTATAGCATTGTCTATTTAAAAACAAAGAAATCAGTGCATAAAATGTGTATCAGAATTACAGAAAATGGGGGAAAAAAACAGTGAAGAACACAAAACACTAATTAATCTGCTGTTGAAGCAGGCTGTGGGCGTTATGAAATGCTCTGGTGGGCTGTAGGTTGGGCACCCTTGCTCTACACAATGAGTCTAGACCCTTAGCAGTAAAGATTAGCTCCTGAATTTTTATAGTAACTAGAGCTGTCAATTAATCACAGTTAACTCACGCAATTATCTCAAAAGAATTAACTGCGATTAAAAAAAAATCACAATTAATCACAGTGTTAAACAATAGAATACCAATTGAAATTTATTAAATATTTTTGTATGTTTTTCTACATTTTCAAATATATTGATTTCTTTTACAACACAGAATACAAAGTGTACAGTGCTCATTTTATATTATTATTTTGATTACAAATTTTTGTACTGTAAAAGTGATAAAATAGTATTTTTCAATTCAGCTCATACAAGTACTGTAGTCCAATCTTTATTATGAAAGTGTAATTTACAAATTTAGATTTTTTTGTTACATAACTGCACTCAAAAACAAAACAATGTAAAACGTTTAGCGCCTATAAGTCCACTCAGTCCTACTTCTTGTTCAGCCAGTTGCTAAGACAAACAGGTTTGTTTACATTTACAGAAGATACTGCTGACTTATTTACAATGTCACCTGAAAGTGAGAACAGGCACTTTTGTAGCCGGCATTCCAAGGCATTTACTTGCCAGATATGCTAAACATTCATATGTCCCTTCATGCTTCCGCCACCATTCCAGAGGACATGCGTCCATGCTGATGATGCTTGTTAAAAAAATGCATTAATTAAATTTGTGACTGAACTCCTTGGGGGAGAATTGTATATCTCCTGTTCAGTTTTACCCACATTCTGCCATATATTTCATGTTATAGCAGTCTCGGATGGTGACCCAGCACATGTTCATTTTAAGAACACACTCACAGCAGATTTGACCAAATGCAAAGAAGGTATCAATGTGAGATTTCTAAGGATAGATACAGCACTCGACCCAAGGTTTAAGAATCTGAAGTGACTTCCAAAATCTGAGAGGGACGAGGTGTGGAGAATGCTTTCAGATGTCTTAAAAGAGCAACACTCCGATGCAAAAACTACAGAACCCAAACTACCAAAAAAAGAAAATCAACCTTCTGCTGGTGGCATCTAACTCAGATGATGAAAATGAACATGCATCGGTCCGCACTGCTTTGGATTGTTGAAGGGTTAAAATTCATTGCTGATGTAATAACCTGGTATATGGATTTATGTACAGGCCCAAAGTCCAGAGTTTGGTCAAGAGGTCAGAGGCCTAGCAAATAGTGATTAGCTAAGAGAAAGCAGAATAAACAAAGATAACTTGCTTTTGCTAGATATGCCTGGTCAGCAGAACGCCAGATGTTGGGGGCAATAATTGTGTCTTATTTAAAGTTACAAATAGAATCTGTTAGTCTCTAAGGTGCCACAAGTACTCCTTTTCTTTTTGTAAATAGAACAAAGAAGCCCTGTTTCTGTTGTGTTAGTTTCTTCTGTAGGGAGATGTTCTTTCCACACATCCAACCTTGAGTTTATGAAAGGTTCAAGCATGTCAGTATAAGATATGGCCTCCTCCCTTTCCCAGGGACCAATGCCTGTCTTAAAACACAAATGAACAACTTGAAAGACAATCTTTATTGCCATATACTTTCACTGTTTCTTTGCTTTTACACCTAGATATGTATCTGTTGGACAATCAAAGGAGCTACTTCATTCCTATGGACCCCAAAGCAGACTTCAACATATATATTTTATACTAATAATATTTATTAAAGTACTAATTAAATGTTAAATGTTAATTTGTTAACTTGAGACCATGGGCGGAGACATTATGTAACCGTGACCATTGGCTACTGTGCTATCATGTCTTGCAGCTAAACTTATCTGGGGGTGTGGGACTGCGTACCCTGTCACTTTCCCCTGCCCATGAAAATCCATATATTCCATTGTAATCAATTGATTGACAGTGTCTCTGAGCCTAATAAGTGACACTCCCGTCAGCACTGTACGTAATAAACTCCTGTTCTTGATCTCTACACAATGTGGATTTATGTCCTTCAGTCGTTATCAAGCAGAACCCATCATCAGCATGAATGCATGTCTTCTGGAATGGTGGTTGAGGCATGAAGGGACATATGAATCTTTAGCACATCTGGCATGTAAATATCTTGTGATTCCGGCTACAACAGTGCCATGCGAACACCTGTTCTGACTTTCAGGTGACATTGTAAACAAGATGTGGGCAGCGTTATCTCCTGCAAATTGTAACCAAACTTGTTTGCCTGAGTGATTGGCAGAAGTAGGACTGAGTGGACTTGTAGGTTCTATAGTTTTACATTGTTTTATTTTTTAATACAGTTATTTTTTGTACGTAATTCTACATTTGTAAGTTCAACTTTCATTATAAAGAGATTGTACTACAGTACTTATATTAAGTGAATTGAAATATACTATTTCTTTTTTACAGTGCAAATATTTGTAATCAAAAATAAATATAAAGTGAGCACTGTACACTTTGTATTCTGTGTTGTAATTGAAATGAATATATTTGAAAATGTAGAAAACATCCAAATATATTTAAATAAAAGGTATTCTATTATTGTTTAACAGTGTGAGTAATTACGATTAATTTTTTTAATTGCTTGACAGCCCTAATAGTAATATACATTTCTTTACAGATATGAAACATTTATATGTATCCTTCTGAATTTTACATATAAAGAATAAGATTTCAAAATGATTTCTCGTCTTTATAAGTTTGCTGCTTTCAAAGGGTATAATTTACCACTTAAGTAAGGAATTATAATTTACAACAGGAAACACTTTAGTTCCTTGACTTTAGGATTTAGATTTTTGTGGCACGGAACACACTGCAGGCATTCATAAATTCCAGGTATCATCTTCAGAGGGCTAATTATTCCATTTGTTTTCAGTTACACACAACTTTGGAGAATCATGTACAGGAATGTCAAGTCTCTTTGCATTTGAACTTGAATAATTACATAAATACAGATAATTAGTACAAATGTGCTGTAACTGTAACGTACCCTTGATAGTCACCCACCTTTTTCTGTCCCTACTAAAAACAAAAACAGAAAACTTGCATTTTTGTAGTCCAATGCTTGCAAGTGCTAATGTCAAACATATTATTTTTCAAGGACTGCATACAATTTTCATATAGCTTTAACTCATATTAGCTTGCTTTTCTAATGTTTTGCTTTCTTCTGATAGGTTATAATAGCAACACCCGGAAGACTATTAGATATTTTAAAACAAAGCTCTGTTCAGCTCCATGGTATTAAAATCGTAGTTGTGGATGAAGTAAGTTCATATAAAGTTAAATACTGTAATTAGAAACAAGTGTTATCAAAATACAGTGATAATGGCCACTGTTAGAGCTCTCATATTTCTGACTGTTAAATAAAAAGTGGCTGCCTAATATAGGTCCTGATCAAGCAAAGCACTTACGCAAGTCCTAAACTTTAAGTTTGTGTGTAGTCCCACTGACTTCCTTGGAATTTAGCATATGCTTTAAAGTTAAGCACGTCGTTGAATGCTTTGCTGGATTAGGTCCATAGTGTCTAATAAGTCGTTTAACTGGAGTCCCAGGCGAGGTGGTTGATTGTCAACTAAACACAATGTTTATTAAAATATAGTTTATACTTCTCAGGGTTAAAAAGTGAATTTAGTATTATGTAAAAGATGCTTGAGTGGCTGTAGCCAGGTCAGTTTACATCACTGATAGGAGCGCAAGCTCCGCCACAGCGCCCCACGAGTGTCAACAGAAGAAGTGTGTCTATCCCTCTTTTCTTCTGACTACTCAAATCAGAACTGATTTTAATGTGGTGACAATGTCGCTACACTAGTGTTGATTATGTCAATTAAAGAATAGTGCATGATTGTCAGAGCTTCCCTGTGTCTTTTTGTATACTATACTTAAAATTATTAGGAAAAACATCATACTGTCTTAAATTAATATTTTCATTTAGGCTGATACCATGTTAAAGATGGGCTTCCAGCAACAAGTGCTGGATATTTTGGAAAACACCTCCAGTGATCGTCAGACCATATTGGTTTCAGCCACAATACCAGTTGGCATTGAGCAGCTGGCAAATCAACTTCTGCAGAATCCTGTGAGAATAACCATTGGAGAAAAGAATCTGCCATGTTCCAATGTTCGCCAGATTATCTTGTGGGTAGAAGAACCATCTAAAAAGAAAAAACTATTTGAAATATTAAATGTTAGTATAGTGTTTTATTTAGCAAATTATTTCTATGCTTGTAGTGAATAAAGTTTAATTTAGTTTAATTTAGCTCTTGCCTATCTAGTGCAAATGTGTGTGAGGCAAACGAGCAGTAATGGACAGTACGTTATCTGCCCCACCACATTCAAGAATGTCTCCGTGGGGGTTCCCTGATAAAACAAAAAGACGTGAGGGCCTTAATCCTCACAATAATTCTAGGTTTATTTTATGAGCATTCTGAAGTAATCTTAGCTGCAGTTATGTAAGAGATTAATATGTGCATTTAAGTGAAACTCAGATCTATTTCACATTTTAAAAACTCACCATTTTTGTATTTAAAATACATCTTCAAAAAGATTATTTCTGAAGTTGTTTCAAGGCAAACTAGGGACCTGATTTTACAAACCCTTATGCATGTGTTTAATTTGACTCATAAGTAACATTACACATGTGTGCAAGTATTTTCAGGATTAGGGCTTAAATCTTGTCCTTTTTTTATTAGGCGTTGGAGGATTTTTTAAAAAAATAAATATGCTTGTTTCAATCTAATGTATAAAATCTACTGAAGAGAAAATGAGCAATTGAAAATAAATAGCTGTGGTTGACCAGAAATAAACTATGCTGATACAGTAGGTTTTACACAACTATTTTAATTTTACAGGATAAGAAACTCTTCAAACCTCCAGTATTGGTATTTGTGGACTGCAAGCTTGGAGCAGATCTTCTGAGTGATGCTGTTCATAAAATCACAGGATTACAATGCATATCGATGCATTCTGATAAATCACAAACTGAAAGAACAAATATATTGCAGGTTTGTACTTCCTAAAATAGAGATCTCTACGTCACTATGAAACATTCCATCTTATTTTTAAAAAGATAATTTAGTTTTAATGAGTTAGTAAAGTAGGCATCTTGTCGTTGTCTGTCACTTACATAAAAGCTGACTAATGCAATTCCAGAGACCACTGGATTTAATGTTTGTTTTTAAACTCCAGGCATAATTTTTATTCTTCAGAATATTGTTCTTTGGGGTGAAGTAAATGCATAGTGAAAGTACTTACATCTGTCTTGTATTACTGAGTTTTCACAATGAATGCTAGAGTTTATGGAAAACTGAAATGAGAGCACAGATTGTATTTCTACTAATACTTCAAGAAAGTGGCTATTTTAAATACTCTAGATTACTCTATTATTATTATTATTTATTTTAAATGGGAATTGACTTGAACATTAGTTAGTCTGTGACTGGTTTTGTGCCTTGCTGAATTGGTGTTTTGTATCATTTTAAGCAGGACTCATTGAATCACAAAATTTTATTTCTGTGTGTGCTACATAAATCAAGAGTACAGTAGGGCACTATTTTTCTTCTTTTTTCAGCAGCAGAATAGTCTGTTGTGCAAATTATGACACTGCCCTTTATTTGAACCAACAGTATCTTGCCCTTTTACAGCAGATCTCAAAAGGGGAATTGCAAGGAAATAAAGCATACATAGAAAGTAATTGCAAAAAGAAAAGGAGTACTTGTGGCACCTTAGAGACTAACCAATTTATTTGAGCATAAGCTTTCGTGAGCTACAGCTCACTTCATCAGATGCATACCGTGGAAACTGCAGCAGACTTTATATACACACAGAGAATATGAAACAATACCTCCTCCCACCCCACTGTCCTGCTGGTAATAGCTTATCTAAAGTGATCATCAGGTGGGCCATTTCCAGCACAAATCCAGGTTTTCTCACCCTCCACCCCCCCACACAAATTCACTCTCCTGCTGGTGCTAGCCCATCTATTACCAGCAGGAGAGTGAGTTTGTGTGTGTATGGGGGTGGGGGGGATGTGAGAAAACCTGGATTTGTGCAGGAAATGGCCCACCTGATGATCACTTTAGATAAGCTATTACCAGCAGGACAGTGGGGTGGGAGGAGGTATTGTTTTATGATCTCTGTGTGTATATAAAGTCTGCTGCAGTTTCCACGGTATGCATCTGATGAAGTGAGCTGTAGCTCACGAAAGCTCATGCTCAAATAAATTGGTTAGTCTCTAAGGTGCCACAAGTACTCCTTTTCTTTTTGCGAATACAGACTAACACGGCTGTTACTCTGAAACCTGTCATAGAAAGTAATTATAATTTATTTTGTTTCCCACCCTTCAGGGATTATTTCAGGAAAAATATGAAGTCGTAGTAAGCACTGGAGTCCTTGGGCGAGGGCTTGACCTTGTCAATGTCAAACTGGTTGTAAATTTTGATATGCCCTCAAGCATGGACGAATACGTACATCAGGTAAAGAGATACGTGTATCTTAAACATACATGAGATACTTGCTAAAACATTGTTGGAAAAATAAAACAAGACCATGCATGATCTGAATTGAAAGATGCACGCATAGGGATGGACGTACCTCCGGAAAAGTTCCCTTTAGGAGGGCAGGAAGAAGGGAATCCTGAAGAATCTCTCCTCCATCCTATGCAAGAAACACCAAACCTTCAGTCTGAATTAATGGAGGAACACTAAAAAATAATGCCTCTATTTGCCAGTGGTGTTTATATAGCTCTCCCTCTCCACCTCAATGTGAAGGAGTATCTCAGTTCCTATACCTTTTTAAAGCATATGTTTATACTAAACATTATTACTTCTTTCATTTTTTGTTGGAAAAAACTGAAATGTCAATGAAATAATGAATGGGAACTCTGCTTACCCATATAGCAATATTTGATGTTTTGCTTAGTTCCAACCTATTAGACCTCGCTACTTTTGTGAAACAACTAAGAGCTAGTAGAGCATTCAGAGTACTGACTTGCCCATGACAATACTATATATTAGGGCTGTGGATTAATTGCAGTTACCTCATGTGATTAACTCAAAAAAATTAATCGCGATTAAAAAATTGTGATTAATCACACTGTTAAACAATAGCATACCAACTTATTCAATATTTTTGATTTTTCTACATTTTCAAATTTATCTATTTCAATTACAACACAGAATACAAAGTGTACAGTGCTCAATTTATATTATTTTTTATTACAAATATTTGCACTGCAAAAATGATAAATTGTGTTTTTCAATTCACCTCATACAAGGACTGTAGAGCAATCTCTTTGTCATGAAAGTGCAACTTACAAATGTAGGTTTTTTTATTACATAACTGCACTCAAAAACAAAACAATGTAAAACTTTAGAGCCTACAAGACCATGCTACATTGCCATGCAAATGTCGGTCTCACTTTCAGGTGACATTGTAAACAAGAAGCGGGCAGCATTATCTTCTGCAAATGTAAACAAACTTGTTTGAGCAATTGTCTGAACAAGAAGTAGGACTGATTGGACTTGTGGGCTCTAAAGTTTTACATAGTTTTATTTTTGAATGCAGGCTTTTTGTACATAATTCTACATTTGTAAGTTCAACTTTCATGGCAGAGATTGGACTAAACTACTTGTATTAGGTGAGTTGAAAAATACTATTTGTTTTGTTTTTTATAGTGCAAATATTTGTAATCAAAAATAAAGTGAGCACTCTAAACTTTGTATTCTGTGTTGTTATTGAAATCAATGTATTTGAAAATGTAGAAAATGTCCAAAAAAGTTAAATAAATGATATTCTATTTTTTAACAGCGCAATTAATGATGCAATTAATCGTGATTAATTTTTTTCATCACGCATTCATCACAATTAATTTTTTAATCGCTTGACAGTCCTACTATATATCCAGTTTCATGTAAGAACACCCAATGTACAGTATTGCTGCAACAAAAATACGTTTTTAAACTATCACACAATGGAGTTTAAGCAGTCTTCTTTTATTCTGAAGGGAGATAGATTACTAATGCCAATTTAAAATAAACTTTGTTTTCATTTGCAGGTTGGAAGAGCAGGAAGGCTGGGTCACAGTGGAACTGCAATTACTTTTATCAATAACAACAGCAAGAAGCTTTTTTGGGATGTTGTAAAGAGAGTAAAACCAACAGGCACGATTCTTCCTCCACAGTTGCTAAACTCCCCTTATCTTCATGATCAAAAGAGAAAAGAACAACAGAAAGTTACACAATCACAGAACAGTCTTGTAACAGGTGATAATCTTATGGACATTATTAGAAAACATGACAAAAGTAATTCTCAGAAGTGATTAATGGTATTATATTTATAAATGTGTAAATATAATGAAAGCACTGTATTTCAGTAATAATTAAACATGAATTTATATCATTGGTATAAGATCGTTCGAAGTTATTTTTTAAAACGTGTAACCTTTTTTCTGGAGAAATCCTGAGTCTGATTTTCATCTCCATCCCCAAATAGTGCCTGATCTAAAAGGACATTCCAAATTTAAAAAGTGCACTTCAGTCTAAAAGTACAGTAACATCTAAAAGCATTTTTTCAGTTTGTTTACTTTGTGTAGGTGACATCTTCTTATATAGTTATTTTCTTATTATAGTTATTTTCACTGTTCTTTCCTTGTTGTTTCTGTGGGGTTTTTGCACAGCAGTGGAGGAGAGAGGAATATTTTTAAAACAGAAAAATTTGGTTGTAAAACTAATTGGCATGGACATGTTTACTATCTGCAAATATTTTTAACTCTTGTTAAATTAACAATGTTTAAGTTAAGAATGTCCCTTTAACCCTCAAATCAATATCTAATTATCCTCAATACTGGGCACCCCCACAATTTTCATTTCTGGGTCACAATGAATTATTAAAAATGATTGGTTTCTTCTTGCCATCACATGTCTGAAACCAGTAAAAAAAAAAATCCTGCTCCAGTACTCTACAACATAAAGAAGATTTTTTTCCCGGTTGTCATTTGGGCTAGCAAGGACTGTGGTTTCTTCAACTTCATATTAGAGAAGTGAGAAAAATTAGATCTAGTAATTAAAATATGAAATTGTGATCTCATTCTGTTAATGGGGGCATGATTGGGCTGTTAGGGTGGAATGTTATACTATAAAAAAAAAATAGGGCTGTCAATGTACTGACATGATTAACTCAAAAAAATTAATCGCAGTTTTAATTGCACTGTTAAACAATAGAATACCAATTGAAATTTATTTAATATTTTGGATGTTTTTCTACATTTTCACATCTACTGTATTCCGTGTTGTAATTGAAATCAAAGTGTATATTATTTTTTATTACAAATATTTCCACTGTAAAAATGATAAAAGAAATAGTAGTTTTCACTTCACCTCATACAAGTACTATAGTGCACTCTTTGTTGTGAAAGTGCAATTTAAACAAATGTAGATTTTTTTGTTACATATCTGTACTCAAAAACAAAGCAACGTAAAACTTCAGAGCCTACAAGTCCACTCAGTCCTACTTGTTCAGCCAATTGCTAAGACAAATAAGTTTGTTTACATTTACAGGAGATAATGCTGCCCTCTTCTTATTAACAATGTCACCAGAAAGTGAGAACAGGCATTTGCATGGCACTTTTGTAGCAAGCATTGCAATGTATTTACATGCCAGACATGGTAAACATTTATATGCCTCTTCATGCTTCGAGCATTCCAGAGGACATGCTTCCATGCTGATGATACTAGTTAAAAAAAATGTTAATTCAGTTTGTGACTGAACTCCCTGGGGGAGAATTGTATGTCCCCTGCTCTGTTTTACCCACATTCTGCCATATGTTTCATGTTATAGCAGTCTTGGATGAAGACCCAGCACATGTTGTTCATTTTAAGAACACTTCCGCTACAGAACTGACAAAACGCAAAGAAGGTACCAATGTGAGATTTCTAAAGATAGCTACGGCACTGGACCCAAGGTTTAAGAATCTGAAGTGCCTTCCAAAATCTGAGAGGGACGGGGTGTGGAGCATGCTTTCAGAAGTCTTAAAAGAGCAACACTCAGATGCAGAAACTTCCGAACCTCAACCACCATAAAAGAAAACCTTCTGCTGGTGGCATCTGACTCAGAGGATGAAAATGAACATGCGTTGGTCCACGCTGCTTTGGATTGTTATTGAGCAGAACCAGTCATCAGCATGGACATATGTCCCCTGGAATGGTGGTTGAAGCATGAAGGGACATATGAATCTTTAGCGCATCTGGCACGTAAATATCTTGTGACGCCAGCTACAATAGTGCCCGGAGAATGCCTGTTCTCACTTTCAGGTGACATTGTAAACAAGAAGTGGGAGGCATTTTCTCCTGCAAATGTAAACCAACTTGTTTGTCTGAGTGATTGGCTGAACAAGAAGTAGGACTGAGTGGACTTGTAGGCTCTTAAGTTTTACACTGTTTTATTTTTGAATGCATTTTTTTGTACATAATTCTACATTTGTAAGTTTAACGTTCATGATAAAGAGATTGCATTACAGTACTTGTATTAGTTTAATTGAAAAATAGTATATGTTTTGGTTTTTTACAGTGCAAATACTTGTAATCAAAAATAAATACAAAGTGTACACTGCTCACTTTATATTCTGTTTTGTAATTGAAATCAATATATTTGGAAATGTAGAAGACATCCAAAAATATTTAAATAAATGGTATTTTATTATTATTTAACAGTGCGATTAATCCCAATCAGTTTTTTTTTAAATGCTTGACAGCCCTAAAAAAACCCCAACAGAATCAGATAGATCATGCAGGGAAGCAGTTTTCAAATGCTCTTGACCTCAACAGGATTGAATCTGGTTCTCTAGGCTCTGATCCTGCAATCTCTTAAAGAAATGCTTACATTTAAGCACAGTAGTCTCATTGGGCCAGATCCTTAATTTGTTTAAATTTTTGTAGTTGCATTAAAGCAATGGAGTTTGACAATTTACATCAGCTGGGGATGTGGCCCAATCTTCAAGAGCACTACATATGAACTTAAATTTAGCGTGTGCATAACTGTTTGCTGGCGTGTGGTCCTATATGCTAAAACTATTGCAAGAGATTCTGTCAACAAAGCCTTTTAATTCCCTTCAATAAAAACCCATCAATTAATATTTTAAATTTATTTTGTGTATATTGCCCAAACCCTGCAGTGTCTTTTAAAAACCAAGTTCATTACAGAATAAAGTACCATCTTCCCATCATTAATGAAACTTCAGGAGAGAACAGTCCATTTTTATCCATCCTATTTTAAAAAAACACAACTCTTATCCTACTCAGGCATTTTTTCTGAGTGAGTCAGACTACAGAATGAATGCTGAATAAGTACAGGAAAATTGAAGTCTTATGTAAACTTGTATAGGCATGTGGATGGGTGTGGAATTATACAGTACATGAAAACAGAGGTTTATGGAAACATGCCTTTTTCCTCTGGAAAGACAACACATATTTGCTATGTAGGCAGATCTTTATTTAGTGTCTGCATTCGTACTAAAGTAACCCGCTGGTTGAAGATAGCTCAAAAGTAAGTTGTTTTGTGTTAGATATATATAATATATATATATCTTTTGGTTTATAAAAATGCATCCTTTGCAAGCGTCTGGACACATGTAAAAACACAATTAAAACTAATGTTGATAAAAGCAAAAAAACAAACATAAAACCTATTTCACACCAACCACAGCTCACTCCATGTCATCCCAGCAGCCCACGAATGGAATAAATAGAGCTTTGTACTATACCCTGAATCTCAAAAGATTGGCTTTTTCAGACCTATCCTGGAAACAAATTTAAATACAGCCTTCCCTCCAGGCCACTGCAATTCAAATCTAAGATCTGTTAGCAGAAAGTGCACCCACTTATCTCAACTGAGATGATAAAGAGGGAGAGAGTAATCTCAGAAATTATCAGCAGCTACATTATATAGTGCTTTATTGAGAACACAGCACCTTTAAATTGCAGCTGGAGACTAATTGGAAGCCATTGCAATCTCTGGTGATAAAGTGACACATGTTCCATGTCCATCCTAATGCATTATCTAAAACTTCCGGATGGTCTTCAAGGAAATCTCAGACAATAATCCAATATGGAATTCACAAAGACATCGGTTCCTTTTTATGTGGTATGCAAAAAAACAGAGGAACATGTCTTCCCCAATCCTGCATCCCCTGAAATACTGTAAAGAACCTTTTCTTAGTGGACCTCTAAAACTGGAGTTATGGAGTGGCATAATGGAGGTAAGGGGTTATTGTCCACATGTTTCACCAGCTGGCCACCTTGACCTGCTATAGATGTTGCTCCTAGGCACTGCTACTGTGCTATTTATTCCTACTTATATATCAGTAGTTCTCTAATTTATAGTATGAACCGCTTCTTAGCAGTTGTCTTGCAGACACCTACCCTCCCAGTCATAACATAACATCCCTGTGGCAACAAGAGTATCGTTAGGAAATTATGTAGTTTTAGCTCTCTTTAGTGCATTAAATATTTTGTCCTTTTTGAAGAAAGTTGTCATTCTCTGTTTGTGCTCATTTCATTTCCCCCCACTAATCTATTCCATTTGTCTCATTTCAAAACAAAAACAGCTGTTATATGATCACCAGTGGTCCATGGGCCACAGTTTAGGAACTTCAGAAGGGGTGCCCTCTTCAGGTTAACAGCCAGAATACCAATACATTATCAATACTGCTTTTGTCTTGTATGAGGTTGTTTATATGAGGACATGCAGGAAAATTAATCCAAATTAACTAAATGTGTGTATTTGAAGTGGATTAGTGAAACCACATTAACCCAGTCTGAACATCCTCATTCAGAATTAAAGTGACCTTAATTCAATTCCAGAGTCAATTAAACTACACCAAATTAAGGGCACTAATTCTGAATAACAGAGAATGTTTAATTAACCCATTTCAAATTAACATCTTTAGTTAATTCAAATTAAGTTTTCTGGATGTTCTCATGTAGACAAGATTTGTGTGAATGTGCATATGCACGTACTGGAAATGACACAGCACTGTCTGCACTTACCAGAATTTAATCCTTCCAAGTTTGAATGCTGTGTTTACATTTTAAATTATTTTTCATTTGATCAGTGCCAAATACTAATATTTATGCTAAAATATTGTATTTAATATTTCATCCTGATTTGTACCGTGTTCCAGATACTGCTTTGTTAACATAGTTTGATTAAGATTAGGAAAACAGTCATGTCTTGTTTTACTGTGCTGCTGCTTTTGAACTTTATCCTTCCTTTTGTCTCCCTCTGCTGGCATATTTTTACCTTGTCTTGTATTTTAGTTTGGCCGATGTACAATATTTCTGAATACCAGCTGTTTTGTTTTACCTGCCCTATAACAGAGCTGAATGCTTTAAGACCAACTGGAAAACTACTCAGAACATATAAGATTATGCAACTGAATATTCTGATAACCGAAACAGCTAACAGTATTTTTCTAGTAAAGAACGTGGGTGGGATATTGTATTTGCATATAGTATGTATAGAACACAGCTTTACTGTCCTGTTTTTAGGATTATTTTCTGTGGAAATTTTGTGGGAGAATAATTGGTAATTTTGCTTAATATGAAGCAATAACTAAATTAAAAAAAAACCCTGGATTATAATGTTTTCTTAATGTAGAGAAAGAGTAGGGTAGTGGAAGGGTTATTATTCTTAATTGAGATAGATTATATGATTTGTTTTGTCCCCCAATTGTCGGCCAGACACCAGATCAGACATAAACAATTAGACAAGCGCCGTACTGCATCTGGTGGCTTATCCTAAAGCCAAGTCTTAAACAAAGATCCTTGTGGTCTGAAAGAAGCAGCTCTATTTATCTGAGCCAAAAGAAATCTTTGGACAATTGATTCAGTTTGAGCTGAACTAGGTTTGCTTCAGATGGAAGTTGCCTCTTCATCTCTTGTGGGATGTAACTGATATATGACAATGACTTTATATTGTCAAAATGATTTCACTGGAGCCCTCTGAAGAAAATGTTATGGAGTTGATCACGCCTGGCAAAGGCATATTAGTTTGAATTGTATGGCACTTAGGAAAAGGGAATTTGCAAACAATAATAGGATTATTGATTAATAGGATTATTTCCCAGATATGGGAAAAAGCAAAAACAAACCACTGAGTTCATTTGGAAGGGAAGGATAGAATCTTTCAACAGAGAAGGTATCAGTTAAATTGGTACACTATATACTATACTAAATGTTAAGGGTATGACATTAACTCAGAAAGCCCTTCCTTTTGTGGATTAATATCTTGTCATCCATAATTTCAATGTGTGTGTGTGTGTATATATATATATATATATATACACTTTTAAAAAAAAAGTATGACTCAAATCTAACTACTTTTAATCTCATAGGTACTGCAAAATTTTAGTAATGTTTATATTTTTCTTAAAATCAGATGCAAGGTAGCAGAAGTAATCTTTGACCATTCAAAAAAGATTTATTGCCTAACCATTTGTACATGCTCTGAATACTCTTCACCACTAGTTTTAAGGTCTCTGCCATTTGCAGGTTTTTTTTTTTACACACACAGCTTTATGAATCACAGTGGGGTAACAGCACAGGCTTTCAGTAGCTAGTTATAAATGAAGTATCAACTATCTTAATCAGCAGCTCAACCTAGAAACTAGTAATAGATTGATTTATTATAGGATTTGTAGCACAGGGAGGTCCTGAGCACAGATCTGAAAGAGAAGGCTCTGGCCTTAGGGGGCCAGCTCAGAGAGGGTATTTGTGTATGGAGCAGCCTGGAAGCAGGTGCTAACGTTTGTGTGAGTAGCTGAAAATGGTGCAGAGCAGGGGAGATGGGATAAGAGCCAAGAATGGCAGGTTTCAGAGTAGCAGCCCTGTTAGTCTGTATTCGCAAAAAGAAAAGGAGTACTTGTGGCACCTAAGAGACTAACCAATGTATTTGAGCATAAGCTTTCGTGAGCTACAGCTCACTAGCTCACGAAAGCTCATGCTCAAATAAATTGGTTAGTCTCTAAGGTGCCACAAGTCCTCCTTTTCAAGACTGGCAGGGACACTGTCACGTGGGGAGCTTTCTCCCAGCTTCCAAACGGCTCGTTAAAAAGAAAAGTGAGAACAAATATTCAAAGGAAATTCTTAGCGGTTGCTTGAGGGTTCCCTGCCTCTCCTGCTCCTAAACCTTGCACGGTGCGAAGGAGGGTTTCACCTGCTTTCCCACGGAAGGCCAATTGCTTCAGCGCGCAAGGTCATTCTATCACAAAGCCCTTGGGAAGAGCAGGACATTCGGGCAGGGGGTTCCCTGGGGGCAGACTTTGGCGCGCTGCGGAGCCCCCCTCACTGGGGCCGGCAGCGATCTCCCCGCTCCCCAGAGCATGAGCGCCCAGGCCGCAGCAGGGAAGACCGTTCCCCAGACAACTGCTAGGGCCCGCCCCGGCCGTGCTGCGTATGACGCGCCCAGGGCTGTAGCCAATCGCGGGCGGCGCGGCGCATTCGAACAGGGCGCCGGAGGGCGGCGGCCGCTGGTGCGCTTGCCTGGGGGCAGGTAAGTGAGGTAGCTGGGCGGAGGCCGGGGGTGGGCTAGTCTCCCAGTGGAGGAGCCCTCCTCTCATTCCCCCCGCGCATGAGCCCCCGGAGATGGGGTTTGGTACCCCGGGAGCTGTCCGCTCTCCCTCCCTAAGCCGGGGCCCTTCTCTAGTGGTGCG